CTCCTCCTCCTCCTCCTCCTCCTCCTCCTCCTCCTCCTCCTCCCCCTCGTCCTCGTCCTCGTCCCCCTCCTCCTCCTCGTCCTCCTCCTCCTCCTTCTCCTCCTCCTCCTACTCATCCTCTCCCCCCCTCCACCCGAGTCCCGAGCACGGGGGCCGTTGCAGATGTTTGCCTTCCGCTCTGCTGAGGTTTGTCGCACTTCATTCTCCTCAGCTTTCCCACTCCTCCCTATGTTTGCGAGAAAAAGCCAGGTTTGATGTTGATCGTGTTCGTGTGCCTGATCGCGCTCATTTCTCTCGCCTTCGCCATGTGTTTCAGGCCGCATATGGAACTCCAGCCGAGGCACCGGAGGGTGCGTCCACACGCGCACCCCGCCCATGCCGCACGCCCGTGTAGGCCTCCCCATAGGGAGCGCTACCTGAGGCCCCAATAGGTGCGTCCACATTCGCCCCCCGCCCGGTGCCGCACGCCCGCCCCAGCAAGTGCGCCCCCATGCGCCCCCTGCTTCTGCCGCACGCCGTGCCGCTGGGGTCCCCAGGGAGCCCCAGTGGCAGGGTTCGCATGGCGCCTCCCCCCCATGCGGCGCACCCCTGACGAGGATCGCGGCCCCTGGGGCATCTCCACCTACGGCCCCAGTGGCAGGGTTCGCCCTGCTCCCCTCCACGGGGATCTGTCGTGTCGACCAGCGGAGACCCCGCCGCCGGCGTTCAGCGTTGAACGCCGGCGGCGGCCCAGAATCGGTCGATGAACGACGATCTGTGTTTCGGAAAGGGCCGATCGTTCAAGGTTTGCACGATCCCCGCGGTGTCAGGAGCCAACGCCGAAGGCGGCACGACGCGAGCCTGGCACATGTGCGCATGTGGGCCACGCCGAGATTCGGCAAACCCTTCGCGCGCAGCGTGCCCCCCCGCCCCACGGGAGCGTGCCGCGCTTGCTGCGCGCCTGCTCTCCGCAGCCTTTTTTTTCCACGCGGCCCCCTGCAGCGCGGAGCATGTGAAGAGCGGCCGCGCCCTGCGCCGCGCGCAGCTACTTGCGGTTTGGGCCGTTCGCCAGGCCATTCGAGTGGCGCGAGGCAGATACAGTGTGCGAAAACCGCTCCTCTCCTCCTTCTATCCATCTATCCTGCTATCCTGTCGGCTCAGGTCTCGGATTGGATATTGTGCCCGACGTGCATCGGGCCCTGAGGGGAAAGGACGCTTTATCTCCCTCACCTTGTCCTCTTCCTACGGACCCTACGGTAGGTTCGACCCTTTGGTTGTCAACCTCCGTTCGCACAAACGGGGTCGTCTGCGACGACACTGTCGCGTAAGCTGCCCGCGTAAGGTCGCGCGTAAGCGCCCTCGTCTCCACTGCAGCATGCCGCGCCGGCGGCCCGCTTGAGCCGCTGTGCAGCGGCGATCCCAGCGCGGGCGTGCACGTTTCAACGCCGCTGGTGGCTCGGAATCGACCGACATCGAAGGATCCGCGCTACCAAAGCGACGCGATCTTTCAAAGGCTTAAGGATCGTCGCAGTGTCAGCAGCCAACGTCCAAGTCATCTGGACATGGACCTGCCGTGCCTACGGCAGGTTCGCGCCGCGCCGACGCCAGCGCGAGCAGTCAAGGTTGAAGGCCAATGGCGGCCTGCACCACGTCAGCCTGGAACGAATTCCGCTGTCGGATGGCGGAGATCGTTGGTCAGTGAACGCCCTGTGCGGTGTTTGAGACCAGCGTTCACGGCGAGACGACGGGGACCATCAGTATATCGGTGCGATCGACACGGGTGCGAGAACACTGGGTCCGAGGACCGACAGCAGTTCCTGTTCATTTCTTGCAAGACTCCCCGTCGGTGTCGCCGCGGGCGATCTCCATTTGAGAGGCAGTCGTGCCTGCCCAACGACGGCCGCTCTTGGTGTTGGGCAACAGTGTTGTTGGGCATCGTGCCCAGTAGTTTCCGTACCCATCTCGGGAATCCAGAGTATGTGCCCCCCGTGTATTTTTTCGTCCATAAGTAGGGCGGTCTGTCATCGCATGCTGTTTTTTCGAAGCATAGCGGTCCTCGCGTGCCAGTTTGCTCATCGTTGCCCGCCCAGACCCCTTCCTGAATTTCGCTGCTCCTTATGTCTTTTCCTATTCCCGGCTCGCGTGTCACCGAGGTCCCTCATGGGCAGGGGGCGGAACAACGAGTCAGGGACGCTGGGCTTCGATAGGCTCAGCCGAAACGTCTGGTAGGGGGGGAGAGCGGGAGGACGAGGCGGGGCCGAAGAGGGTTTCGCAGATGAGGGGGAAAAAGGGGAGGGGGAAGGGGAAGGGGGAGGGGGAAGGGGGAAGGGGACGAAGGGGACGAAGGGAGGGAGGAGGAGGAGGAGGAGGAGAAGGAGGAAGGAGGAGGAGGAGGAGGAGGAGGAGGAGGAGGGAGGAGGAGGAGGAGGAGGAGGAGGAGGAGGAGGAGGAGGAGGAGGAGGAGAGGAGGAGGAGGAGGAGGAGGAGGAGGAGGAGGAGGAGGAGGAGGAGGAGGAGGAGGAGGAGGAGGAGGGAGGAGGAGGTGGAGAGGAGGAGGAGGTGGAGGAGGAGGAGGAGGAGGAGGAGGGGAGGAAGAGGAGGAGGAGGAGGAGGAGGAGGAGGAGGAGGGAGGAGGAGGGGAGGAGGAAGGAGGAGGAGGAGGAGGTGGAGGAGGAGGAGGAGGAGGAGAAGGGAGGAGGAGGTTTGACGCTCCCTGCCCATCCCTACGCCCGCACCCACGACCCCTCGCCGCTCCCCCACGCCCCCCGCTCGACGCCCGCGCGGAGGCCCCCACGACCCCCCAACAGAACCGGCGCCCCTCGATCCAACGACACCTGCGACGCCCCCCCGTCACCGCCCCGCGCCCTCATACGACGCCCCGCCACGACGGCCCGGCATCCCAGCCGACCCCCCCCACCAACGACGCCTCGACGGGCGACCCGAGGCCTTTCCTCGCGACGCTACCGACCACCACGACGACAACGACGGCCCGACGCCCCTCCCCACGGCGGCGCGCCTCCCCACCACGACGCCCACCCCCGCGCACGCCCTGCCCCGCGCCGTTCCCTCCCACGACGGCCCACCGCGACGACCCCACTCCCTGCCCGAGGCCTTGCCCGACACCCCCATCCGACGCCTCGCCCGACTCCGAGGGCGGCGCCCCGCCCCGCTCCCCACTGGACGCCTCGCCCGACGACCGCCCCGCGCCCGACTTTTTACTGGGACTGCCTCGGCTGCGCGGCCAGCGTTGCTTACACGGACGGCTAGGCGGACCACAGGACGGATGGCCCGACCCCCCGACCCCGCGGCCAACCCGACGCTGCCCCTGACCGCCGAGCCGCCGGCCAGACGCGACCCGACGATGCAACCGGCGACCGACCCGCCGGACATCCCGACAGCCTCCACGCCGCCCAGACCGACGCTCGGCCTGACGGCCAACCATACGAGCAATCCGACGGCCTTTCCCGCCGCCGAACCGACGGCGCAGCCGACGGCCGACCCGACGGCCTGCCCGACGGCCTACACGACAACGCTGGCAGCAGCCTGAACGTGGCCGTGACGAACAGGACGACGCCAGGAGAGACGAGGACGAGGACGACAGCTCTCCCGACCACCTCCTCCGCGCCCCCCCCCCGCTGCCCGGCGCCCTCACCGCTGCCCCACGCGATCCTCCACCCCAGCCCGACGGACCCGACGCTCGACCCCTGCCCCTGCGATGCCCAGCCCGACGTACCCGACGCTCTCTCGGAGAGACGCGTGGCCCTCGTGGACCGTCTGGAGGGCCTCTTGGTGCCCTCTTGGCCTGCTTCGGGGCCCTCGGCCCCCCCGTGGCGCGTTCCAACCCTCCCCGGGGGGCCTACCCCCCTTCCAAATCGACTGGACTGGGCTCCCCGGGGGAGCGGCTTGGGGAGGGGGAAGCGTCTCACACGCCGATGAACCCCAGGGGGTCGGCGGATTTTCTTGAGGTGTTCGAAGGATTTCGGCCTCTTGGGACGTCCTGAGGGGGTCGCGAGAGCACTTGGGGTCGTCTTGTGGTCCTCGACAGGTCTTTGGAGTTATGTCGGAAGTTATCTTGAACCGTCTTCGGCTATCTTGAGCCGCCTTGGAGGCCATCTTGGAGCATCGGAAGCCATCTTGGCGCCATCTTGGGCGAAAAACTGTTCGACACATCGCGGCCCGCCCCGAAATAACCTCAGAGAGGGGAGGCCCAGGGTATTCCTTCCCGAAAGGAAGGAGGGCTTTGGAGGAGGAGAAGAAGATATCGTTAGACCACCATCGCCCGAAGGGCTGGTCGGATTTTAAGTGCATGTGTGTGTGTGTATGTATGTATGGGGGCATCCCTGGGGAAATCTTCACGCTTTCATTTTCGCTACGTCCGTAGCGCTCTGAGAAGGATCAGGAGGGGAAAAAACACACACAGACAAGTACTCGTCGACTCCCAGGAGAAATATGGGAACATATGGGAAGTGGGGGGGAAGACAAAAACCCAGAAAGTATTGGAAGATGTGGGGAATCCTGTGATTTGTGTTTATTTGTTTGTGTGTCCCAGGGCCCCTTCAGAGGATGCGTGAGCACAGCGACGGCACCTCCAGCCGCCGCGGCCTCTCCTCCCCCCTTCTTATATCCGAGAGGTTTGCGCCATGCCGCCGACCCCCCGAGGAGGAAAGTTCTCCGCGGCGAGGCTCTTTGGGGGGCCTTTTGAAGACCGTCTGGGAGCTTCGAGGCTCTTTTGGGGGGCCTTCTGAAGACCTTTTCGGGGCCTGTTGAAGACCGTTTTGGGGGGGTTCTCTTTGTGGGCCTCTCGGGGCCTTTTTGGGGGGGGTTCTGGGGCGCCTGCCGGCGGTCTCGGGGGCCCTTTTGAAGGCGGAGGGTTTTCGAAGTTCCGGTTTCAGTAACCCCTCCTGGGCCCCCCTTGAGCCCTGTTGGGGCCCCCGCGGGACGTCTTGGGCGCCTCTTTGGCGTTTTGTGCCCCTCCTGGGCCGTCTTGGGGCCCTCTCGGAGGCTGCTTGGGCCGTCTCAGAGCAGTCTCGGGGGCTTCTTGAGCCGTCTTGGACGCTGTTTAGACAACAAATCGAAATTGCTGAACATGTGCGTTGGCGATTTTTGCTTCTTGGGGCCCTTTTGGGGAGCCATCTTGGGGCGTCTTGGAGGCTTCTTGGGCCATCGAGGCCACATAGGGTGTTTTTGAGGCCTCCTCGGCATGGTCGAACCCAGCTTGACCAGCTTAGATGGCATTCGGGGCATCTTGGAGGCCACGGAGTGTAGATTTCGAGGCTCCGGAGGCCTCCGGAGGCACCCGGGCTGCGTTGACGAGCTCATCCTCTCCTCCCTCGCCCCCCCCCTCTCCCCCCTATTTTATCTAATCGCTTCGCTCCCTCCGCCGGCCCATATTGTGCCATCGCAGGCGTTTGCCTGCGCGTTCGTGGCCTCTTGGAGGCCGTTTGTGGGCCTTTTGGAGGCTCTTTTTGGGCCTCTTGGCGGTATTTTTGTGACCTGGGGCATCGCGGGGGCCTCTTGGGGGCCTCTTGGGGGCCTCTTGGGGGTCTCTTGGGGCTTCTCGGGGGCCTCTTGGGGGCTTCTTGGGGGCCTCTTGGGGCCTCCAGGGGACCTTTCTGCGCCTAGAGCTCGAAATGTCCGTTCGGGTCCCTCGTCTGGGCCCGCTCTTGGAGCCGTCTTGGGAGCCTCTTCGACCATCTTGGAGGCCTCTGGGGCTGTATTAGGGCCCTCCGGGGGGCCGTTTTGGGTGCTCATGTAGGCCTCTTGGGCCATGTTGGGGCGATCCTAAAAGCCTCTTGGGCCGTCTTGGAGCGCCGGTAAGCCGAAAAGGCGAGAAAGCCACAAAATTTCAAAAATTGCATGGTAATCACAAATTTCTACCTCTGTGGGCCCTCTTGGGAGGACTCTTGGAGGCCTCTTGAAGGCGCTTTGGGCTGTCTGGAGGCCATCTTTGGCGTCTTGGATCGCCCTTGGACCGTCTCGGACCATGTTCAGTTCTCTTGGAGGCCACTTGAAGCGCTCCTGGAGCGCTCTTGGGAGCCTGGCGGGGACCTGCCCAGGACCTTGCCAGGACCTTGCCAGGACCTTACCAGCATCTTGCCGGGACCTTGCCGGGACTTGCCTGGACCTTGCCGGGGTACTGTTCGTCTGAGGCGCGAACTAGAAATATTGTTAAATTGTTAACCAGTTGCCGGAGATCCTAGCACGCCCTTGACCCGTTGGGCTGGCGAATTCAGACGTTGAAGGCCTTAGATGAGGTGTCGTCCCCCAGACGCCGCGCCCTTGCCCGGCCCCTCCCCCTCCTACGCGCTGAAGGTCCTAAACGTGGTGTCGTACCCCGGCCGCCGCGCCCTCCCCTCCCCAATCGTGGCGTGTTTCCAGGGCGGAAGATCCAGGAACCCATGCCGAAATAAGCGTGTGCGCTCCGGCGCTGCATGTGTACAGAGCGCGAGCGTTCCAGCAAACCACGACGTGCGTTCCAGCGCTGCATATCTACCGAGCGTGAGCCTTCAAGCAGCTCGAGCTGAAAATTGCGTGACGCCGCCGTCGCCGTCGTCGCCGCCGTCGCCGTCGCCGCCGCCGTCGCCGCCGTGGCTGTCGCCGTCGCCGAGCTCGCCGTTGCTCTCCCCGTCTCCGTCCGTTCGCCGTCGTAGCTGTCAGTGGCGCCGTCGTCGTCGTCGCCATCGCCTCCGTGGCCATCGACATCTTCGGTGCCGCGCCGCCGGCGTCGTCGGCGCTTTCGCCGCCGCCGTCGTCGTCGGTGACGTCGTCGCCGTCACCACCGTCGCCGTGGCCGTCGTCTTCGCCGCTGAAGTCAGCGCCATCGCCTGCGCCGTCGCTATCGCTGTCGCCGCGGTGTAGCCATGCTTTTTCACGAGCAAGATGTTCTAGAGATGCATTGGCTGACGCCGCGCCGCCGACCGCTTGGGGCGGCAGTAAGAGTGAAAAACGGTTTTTGCGGAACGATTTCTGGGGAATCTTGGGGTTTCAGCTTCTTGGGATTTCGTCGGGGGCGGTTGGCGGATCGCGGCTCTGCTTTGGGGTTCTCTGGGCTCTCCTGGCAGCACTTTGGAGGCCTCTTGGGAGCCGTTTTGAGGCCTCTATAAGCCTCTTTTGGGCCTCTCGGGGGCCTCGTGGGAGCCTCTTGGGGGCCTAGTGGCGCCTCCTCAGGTTTTTTCGGGGCCGAGTGTTCGAAATGTTCATTCGGGTTCCCCCTCTGGGCCTCCTCTTGGGGCCGTCCTGGAGCCCTCCTGGGTCGTTCGGGAAGCTTCTGGGGCCGTCTTGGGGCCCTCTTGGGCCGCCTTGGAGCCCTCTTGGGGGCCTCTTGGGCTATCTTGGGTCGATCTTAAAGGCTTCTTGGGCCGTTGTGGGCCTCGTGAAATCCCAAGGGGCGAAAGTGCTAAAATTATAAGTTTTACCTAGCGATTTTTGTTTCTGGAGGGCCTCTTGGGACGCCTCTTGGTGGCTTCTTGGGGCGTCTTGGGGGCCTCTGGGACCGTCTGGAGGCAATCTTGGGCGTATTGGAGCGATCTTTCGGCGACTCGTAGCCCTCTTGGACCGTCTGAGGGGCCTTTTGGGGCCCTCTTGACCCGTTTTGGGGCCCCCTGAGCCTCCATGGGTGCGGCCGACACCTTTGCCCCCCACCCCCTCCCCCTTCAAACCGGCCGGAACAGGCTCCCGGGCAGGGGTTTGGGGAGGGGGAAGCATCTCACACGCCGTGACCCCAAGGGGTCGGCGGGTTGTAGGACCGCCCAGAGGCCCGCACGTCATTACCATGTGGTCCAGGACTCGTGACCGTTATGAGCAATGGTGGCGCTGGGGGCCGTGACCTGCGTGTTCACCATCGCCTCGTGGTTCTCAGGGTCATGCCTCTTCCGCACAGGATCTCGCCTCTGTGAGCCAGAACCTCGAGAGGACTCTGTGGGAGCGCTCGTGCCCCTCAGCGCTCGTGCCCCCCAGAGCCTGGGGTCCCACACATCTCCACAGCTCGTGGCCCCGAGAGCCGCGACCCCATGGGGCTACGAAGCGTGTGACGGGTGTGCGGACATGGGCGCAGGTAAGCATGCAGTCTTTCCCGCCGGGGTCTCTGGTGGAGCTCCTATGGGGTCCCACGGCGCGTTGGAAGGGTGTGCCGAAAATGGGCGTGGGGGCGCACCACTGGGACCCTCTCCCCCATGGGAGGAGGAGGAGGAGGAGGAGGAGGAGGAGGAGGAGGAGGAGGAGGCGGAGGAGGAGGAGGAGGAGGAGGAGGAGGAGGAGGAGGAGGAGGCCACGAGGCGCGTGGTGCGTGCCAGCCTTCACGATCTCGTCTGCGGAGGCTGGTGTCTTGCGTGCCCGAGTGCCTCTTCCAGGGGGTACCCTGGGAGCGCCGCGGCACATGCCGCCCTCCTGGCCGCCTCTCCTCCTCGTCTCCGCGGGGGGCCACGGGGCCTCAACAGAGTGCCTCCCCCCCCCAGCAGGCTGCACCTTTGCTGCTCTTCGGGGGGAGGCGGCCTTGGGGGGCCGTCTTGGGCCGTCTTGGGCCGTCGGGAGACCGAGACGAAGCAGATGCCCAAATCCTTCAGGAGCCCCAGGAGAATCCATGACTTGGGTCTCCTCGGGCCTTCCTGGAGGACCTCCTTGCGGGTCGCGAGGCGAGGGCGCCCATGGTTCGGCTGGTGCAGCCGCGTCGCGGTCCGCGGTGCTCCGTCGGTTCGGTCCGGTCGTCGGCGGCGCCGCCGCGTCCCTCGTGGGCTGCTCTCTCGATCCGTCGGCTTGGGTCGATCAGGAGGGACAAAAAACACAGGAACAATTCATCGTCGATTCCCAGGGAAATATGCGAAAATATGGGAAGTGGGGGGGAAGACAGAAACCCAGAACATATTTGTGTGTGTGTGTTCGTGGGCCCCTTCCGTCGATCTCGATTTTTCGCTGTTGGTTCGGTCGGTCTTTAGTTTTGGTGTCGCGGTGAACGCCCGTGTGGGGTCTTGGGGAGGTGGCCTGCGGCGGGGCGAGTGACAGAGGCGGGAGAGGTGGGCAAGGCTCTCGTTGGCTCCGCGCGGTAATTGTCAAGAGGCCCATTTCGCAGCCTGGGCCTAGCAGCTCCACCGTTTTGGCCAGCACGTGCGTGGAGGGCCAGAGGGCATGGCACAGTCGCAGCTTTTTTGGCAGCCAGGAAGACGTACACCGGCATGGTAAAGAGCTACAACAGGACTGTCGCACTGCTGAGCGACGTCGTGTGGGCAAGGCAGCAGGCAGAGTGCCATGAGGATTGATGGGCTCGCTGATAGCAAGATGTGCAGCTCTCGGGTGGAGGAAAGCGCGCACAGACACAGTTCATCGTCGACTCCCAGGAAAGTGTGGGAACACATGGGAAGTGGGGGGGGGTGGGGAAGACGAAAACCCAGAAAGTGTAAGAAAATATGGGGAATCCTGGGATTTGTGTCTTATTTTTGTTTGTGTGTCCCTGGGCCCCTTTGAGCTCTCGCTTGCCCGCCATGCGCTGCGGTGAACCGGCGATGCTGCCCGGTTGCGCAACATCTTCGGCCAGCGAAGCCCCAATCTCTTCAGCCGTCTGGAGTGCGGTGTTCCACGCAGCAGGTCTTTGAGATCACCGAGCGCGTTCCACTACTCTCGGGGGTGGACAGAGCCCCCAACAGTGACACGTCGATTAGTGAATTGTCCGTTTTCGGTTCACGAGAGGGCGCCGTGGCCGTTATTTTCCAGGCTTGCGCCCGCCAGGTTTGGGCCTCAGGTCGTTTACACTCAACCACGTTTTACTAAAGGGGGGTCTGTCCATCCCCGATGCTCGCCAACGTCCGGAAGAGCACATGCTTGCTTCCATGGAATGGGTCGTAGACCGCCCGCGGCGGGTCCGGGCCATCTGCGAGCAGCTACTTTGCGAGTGGCGGAACGCGCTCGTCTACGTCAGTTCGGTCATGTTCAGGGCCCCCGAAATCAGGACCCTGCAAGTCAGGACTTTGCCATATGCAGCTGGAGGAGAGAGACATGGCGAATCACGGAGATTGATTCGACGTCCGGCTGC